ATAATAATAATAATAATAATAATAATAATAATAATAATAATAATAATAATAATAATAATAATAATAATAATAATAATAATAATAATAATAATGTTTATTTGCATAGAAATACGTAGTACATAATTAGTAACAACAAATAAACGGAATTACAATAAATGAGATATAAAATATAAACCACGAAGTAAAGCAAGTTACTTGTATGTGGCATACTACACATTTTTTAACATTATAGGTATATAAAAAATTATTTAAACTTACATAAAAATAAAAAAAAAATAAAAATATAGAACCTTATTATCTAAAATAATGTAAATAACAAAAATGATAATAATAATATAGAGTATATATATACACACAGGGATTTTAAAAATAAATTCTAATTTTCAATTTTGTGCAAAGGCACGTGGCATGTTCAAGATAAATCTTTTTATTTTCTTTTTGTATATCGGAAATTTAATTTCGTTTCTAATATCACAGGGTAATGAATTAAAAATTTTAGGACCTAAAAAGGAATAAGATTTTTGTCCAATAGCTCTCTTCATATAAGGAGGAACGTACGTTAGTTTGTTACGGGTGGCATATTCGTGACTTGAAGTTTTAAGTTCCACCTTGTGGTTATACTGGGTAATACCTACGTTTATAAAATATAGCTGTCTAGGATCAAATATACCACTCTCACTATATAACATATTGGTTGGACAATCATAACCCCTCTGCAAAATGATTCGAATAAATCGTTTTTGGAATATTTCAAGTGATGAAAGGTAAGTTTTGGATACGCCACCTCATCCTATTATCCCATAATTAAGATGTGATTCAACTAAACTCTTGTATAACATTATTTTTTGTTTAAAATCAAGAATACAACATATTTGTTTAAATTTATATAATACACAACGCAGATTTTTTAAGGTATATTCTATGTGTTATGTTATGGTCTATTATAATTCCAAGGTATTTTATTTTTCTTACAGGGGTAATGCTAAACGTATTTCCAACAATAAGGTTATAATCCGGAAGAGCGTTACTATAAGAACTAAATGGTATGTAATTTGGTTTTTTAAAGTTTAATGACAAGAGCTTATGATCAAACCACATCTTTATTTTTTCTAAGTCTTGTTCTAATTTTATCTTTAGAGTATACCAGTTACTATCTTCACAAAACAATACCGTATCATCGGCAAAACTAATTATTTTGCAATTTGTCTCTACCAGGAATAGATTATTTAAATATATAATAAAAAGAATAGGCCCTAGAACAGTCCCTTGTGGTACTCCACAAGTAATAGTTTTTTCTTGGCTCAACATGTCACCTATTTTTACTTTTTGTTTTCTATTTTTTAAGTAACTTTTTAAAAGTTCATGTGGAATACCCCTTATACCCATATCATACAATATATTAAGAAGGATGTTATGATCAATGGTATCAAAAGTCTAAATCTAAATCTATGAATACACCAATAGATGGCATAGTTTTGTCAATACTCTTATATATATTCTCAGTTAGTACTTTAATGGCATCTTGAGTAGACATGTTTAGCCTAAATCCGTATTGTGCTTCTGAAAGTAATTTGTGTTTATTTAAGAAATTGTTTAATCTAGTCTGGATTACTTTTTCGAATATTTTAGCTAGGCTGCTAATTAAAATAACTGGCCTGTAATTAATTAAATCAGTTTTTTCTTCCTGTTTGTAGATTGGAAACACCGTTGCTAGTTTTAAAACAGATGGAAAGTGACCTTTTTGTAATGATTTATTAATTAAGTGTGAAATAGGTTTTGCAACATAGTCCGTGATTATTTTTAGTGTTTCTGCTTTTAGACCGTCCCAACCTGGAGCTTTATTATTTTTTAATTTCATTATGGTTTCTTTTATTTCATTTTCATCGGATGGACGAAGGAAAATGGATTAATTGCAGGTTATCTTTTTCTCCACGTAGTTTAAATTAGTTTTAATTTTTTTAGCTAAGTTTTTACTTACAGATATAAAATATTCATTAAAAGTCTCCGCTATTTCGGATGGTTCAGTTATGAGTTTGTCTTTATTTTCTTTAATTAAATTTATTGGAGTTCTTTCTGGTATTGTTAAGAATTCATTAATGGTATTCCACAAATTTTTTGGATTCATATCGTTTTGAATACGGCTTCGGTAGTAATTTATTTTTGTTTGTTTAATTAGTTTGCTTAAGGTTTTTTTATAATTGAGGTACTCTTGTTTTAGATTTTCATCGTGTGGACATTTTTTATATTGACAAAACATTTTATTTTTCTTGTTTATTGAATTGATCAGGGTGTTCGTTATCCAACATTTGCGTTTTTTATTATCACTTTTTATTCTTTTATATATTGTAGATATATCTACACATTTTTTAACTATACTAATGAATTTTATTGTTTCAGATTCCACATCGTCGCCATCAAAAACGAAATCCCAGTTAATATTCATTATTTCATTTTTTAGTCTTTTTTTCATTTAATATTTTTATTATGTTATTATTAGATAAGTTGTTTTGTTTTAGATGTGTTGGAATTATAACCTATGCTAATGTTGAATAGTGATCTGTTATATTTGTTTCTAGAGTTAATGGCAATATAGTATCATATAATTGATTTTTATTATTAATAAAAATGTGAGTGTCTTTCCTGTTTCTAAAAAATTACATTATTATATCTGTTGAAGTTCTTCCAGGATGAGTAGCGTTAAATTGTCTAGCTGCAGCTCTTGCAAATTTATTATATGCATAATATAACCCTACAATTTCAACTCTTATTTGTATAGTGTACACCATTTTCACAGTTGACATAATAGGTATTCAGACTCCCGGCATCTAACGTCCTGATAGCCGAATTGATAAGGCGGTATGCATAGAATACAAACAATCTTGCTCAATATATTTCTGTGCTTTTTAGTAAGATACTAATTTATCTTCAATTACCACAAATTAAGATATCAAGATATCAAACCTAAAGTGTATTTTATTCATTTAAATAAACAATACATATTTTATTATTATTATTTTGAAAAGTGATCCACAAAAAATTTCGTGATCCTACACACAGCTCTGAGTTAAATCCAAACTAACATTTAAAAAGAAGAAAAATCTAATGCTACGACATACGTGAATTTTACAAACATTTTTTGTGGACTACGCCATCTCTCTGTGGCACTTACCCCATGGCACTTAGGCCTCATTAGGCTCATTGTATATTCTCCTAAGACGCCAGACATCTCCCAGCTCGTGAGCCAGTCTACACAGTTGATGTAATTGACAATGTCGCAAGATATGCTACTTTTATATCGGCCGGTGTTAGAAGAGTGCGGATTCTGATAGCCTTATGCTACGGAAAAGATTCCATAAATGGCATCAGGCGCAGATTCTATCTAGTCATAGTAAAAGTATTTGTTTGCTGTAGTGTTGTCAGGATAACTTAAAATCTCCTTAGCAACTCTACAGCTTCTTATTTCATCCTATATTTCCTTTAATTTCACAAGGGAATGTTTTTTAAGTAGATTTATTACTACCGATGTTATCAGTCCAATAGAAGTGCCAGGTCCAAAAAGTATTTGGTTGGCAACCTTTTTTAATTAGTGAATCAGCAAGACATTACATTTCGATGTGGTGTGATCTCTGATTTATTCTAATGTGATCACATTGTTGATGGCGAAAGCTTCGTGACATTCTAGTACTAACCCTGACTAAATTCGTGGTCTATCCAGTGTGAGTCTGCTAGCTGCTATAAAAATTCTTCTGGGCTCGGTTTGAATCACACTTGCACTATTACTCATAGCTTATTTTTTGTTTAGACTTAAAGATCTGGAGTATATTCCACATCCTAAGACTTGTTTTGTTTTAGAACCGTCGGTGTAGATATGTCTTGCCAAGATATTCTAAATCCAATAAAAACTTATTTATAAGATTAATAGATTTTTAACGTAATTTATTGATGAAATAATCATACTGAAGGTAAAATGGCATTTTCAAATATTAATACGAACTGAGGCCGTGAATTAGGATGTGATATTAAAATAGAAATTGCTATTGAAATAAAAAAATATAAAAATAGCATAAAAACCTACTAACATATTGCATTATATATCAAAATAATCTGTCAGATTATTGAATGAGATGATTATTCCATAATATTCAGAATACACTAAAGATTTGAGAAACGATCAAGCTCTGACTGAACTATTAATAATTAGAATCGGGTAGGTAAAAGAATTTCTAGTTTGTTTCTTTTAAAATGTTGAATTCCTGCAGCGTTAATGTGTTTCAAAATAAAGTTATGCTTTTCCTGGATGTATAATGTATGTGTTTTCTCTTTTTACCATTTGTTTAAAATTTTACTATTTAACAAATATTATCATATTTTCGTTACACATTATTTAAAAGTTACTTATTGAAATTAGAATTTTGTAACAAATGCAGACCTGTTGATTCGTTTTGCATCAATTTTGTGATCCTCAAATTAAGATAATTTTGAAATATTGATTATTTTAATAATTACAACGTTAATTTCATATCACCCTATTATCCAAACATTTTATTGACAAAAGTCTATAACAGAAATACTAAATACATTTAGTGTAACTTAATTTTATCTGCTCTTTTTAAAAATACAAACAAATTTTTAAAATTATTCTAAAATAGGGGTTATTGTTTTATAAGTATTTCGGCACGATATTGGAGAAAGAATATAATGTCATGAATATGAAAAAAAATATAGTGTGGCTCGTAAGTTATCAATAATTGAAGAAATTATTAAAATTAATAAATCACCCTGAATCTTGGTTATAAAGAGTCAGTGGCTCATTAAATATGGGTTATTTAAATCCACCTATCTAGCCCTAATGCATGCGGATTTCCCAAATGATTCACCGTGTATAATTGTTACATTTAAGATCTGAAGTTGAGCTATCCAGCTTTTAGACTTTCTATTTTTATTTATTTTCTTTCGCCTTTTTTTCTATTCTTTCTTTTAATACTTTTTTATTTTTATAGGTAATTCAACGAAGAGACGATTTTGGCTACCCCAGAGAAAACTTTAACAGAGACTGGAACGATTATAAAAACGGATTTGGAGATCCGTCGAAAGAATTTTGGCTTGGCAACGAAAATATTTACATGTTAACCAATAACGAAGAATACGCTCTTAGAGTGGAACTGGAAGATTTTGAAGGAAACAAAAGGTAAAAATGTATTGGTTTATATACATTTTATTTTTAATTCATCATAATTAATAACTACCAAATTTTATTTTCTTCTTTCATTCGTATTACTCCTTTAAGGAGGACAGATGTGGTGCTTACCCAACTAAATAATATTTGATTCGTAAGATTTGTATTTAATATGATAATATCACAATGACAAAATATTGGCGCACGCAAAATATAAACGAAAAAAACTATAGTAGCCTAAATAATAATACACTACAACAGCCCGTCTTTTGTAGTTTATGTCCTTCCTCGAAAAGTGTTTTCTTACCTGTCCTTCTTTTTAATATTTTAAAACTAATCTGTTAATCTATGTATGTTGATACTCTAGCTGCAGCACTAATCGTAAAATTCAATATTGTCGCGGAAAGCGAACCATGTGCTTTGTTTATTACCATACCGCGACAGGAAGTCTAACGCTGGCCATATCGAGACAAACGCACGGCTTCTCGAAACTCCCGGAATGATCGCGGTGCAGCGTATGAGTCATAAAGAGGCAGTTTTCAATGGTTCTGGAAAACCTAGATAGTTCTGGTACAGAGCTGGCTTTATATAAATAGCGCGAGTTTATCGACGGAGGGCAGATTCAAATAAAGAGTTGGACAATAAAGACAAATTGTAATAAATAAATTATAATTGTGAGTTATAATAGTGTCTAAGTATTATAATTAATTAGTTTGTTATAAATAAATCGTAAATAGTGTTTAAAATAAATAAACTATAAATAAATTAAACAAACGTTACATTGGTGTTATAAGTGGGATTGTAAATAAACAGTTAACAAAACTGGTTAAAAAAATGTGTGAATTAGAAGATCGTGAGCTGGAGACAATAGGGAAGAAAGCAGAGCTGATAGAGCGGCTTAAAGAAGCAATTAAAAGTGAAGGTTTTGATCCGGAAAAATATCTATTTTCGGATGACGCTTCTATAATTTCTTCAATTTCTTCCGATATGAAAACCGAAATATCTTCTGTGAAAAACGAAATTTCCTCTTTAGAAACCAAAGTTTCATCTGATATGTTTTCTATGGAAACTAAAATTACTGCTAATGTTTGTTCTATAAAAAATAATATTACTTCTTTAGAAAGCAAAGTTTCATTAGACATTTCATCCTTAGATTGTAAAGTTTCTTCTTTAGAAGAAAAGGTGTCTTCTGACATATATTCTTTAAAAACCGAAATTTTTTCCGACTTGGAATACAAAATGTCTTCTCTAAAAAATGAAATATCTGTTGATGTGGAAAACAAGATGTCTTTTGTAGAGGAGAAAATAAAACAGATCGAAAAGAAGATAGAAGAATTAAAACATACAGAATAGACAAAGAACGTTAAAATAAAGTGCCATGAGGTGGAGCGAAGTTGAAATTGGAAGGATCTGTAAACTACTCGTGTTAAAGCCCCAACTCTCGACGGAAATATGTTATGGACCAACTACCTTAAACAGTTCGAAATAGCTGCCAGAGCAAACGAATGGTCTGAATGAGAGAAGGCAGTAAATTTGACCATGGCCCTTTGAGGAGATGCTTTAGATGTTTTTCAGACAATACCTGTGGAAGAGACAGATGATTTAGAACAACAAAAAATAGAGAACATGCGATATGGCCAATCACAATTAATGACTCGCAAAAAGAAATGGCAGTCCAAACATTTGTTAATGGACTCCGTGACCACGAACTGCAGAAAACACTCCTCTTGTCCCGTCACAAAACATTGGTTCATGTCTTGTCCGCTACTCTAGAATTTGAGGCAGCTACGCAGGCTTCTGGAGGATACAGTAAAGTCGGGACTGTAAAAGAAGAAAACGTAAAAGATACACTCGATCAACTAGTTAATATAATGAAGAGTTTTACTGACAAAAAGATAAAGACGAAGACTATCAGGTGCTGGAATTGCAGTGAACTGGGACATGTACGCAGTGCGGACATGCGCTCAAAGTATGATGTAGCAGTTCAAGATTCTTTATTTGCTTAGGATAAGCATGAATTAGAAAAAATCATTAAGCCAATATTCCGACTCGACCATAAAACAAAACATCCAGCCAAAACATCAACGTGTAAATAGTATGTGTCTCCAACACTATGTGTATTGCAGTTAAAATTTTATTTGATCTGGGAGCCGACACAACAATGCATCAACGCGGTCTGTTGGTAGCAGCACTCTGTAATCTGTAATGAAATGGGCGTTGATTGCAATAGACTTAAATGATACAGGTTTCCTCAGGTCACAGTTTAAATTCTTTAAACTGTGGTCAGGTCTAGTGAGCGGAGACCCTTATTCGTAAGTAGGTCACGTTAATCATAAAAGTTGATAGAATGCCTCAAGATAATGATATAGTTCCCCAACTAACTAGCTTTGAATTGAAGTCTCAGCGAAGGATAAATTAAAAATGTTAATATTTTCAATAAACATTCTCATTGCCCATAAACAAAAATTGTTTAAATCGACCTGCTAACCCCGTAACTAAATACTATAATGAGCACGATGCTTATACAAGATGCACTTAATTTTGACATTTTAAATGCAACATAATAGGTACTCATCCACTGGGTCGTCCGATATGTAAAAACGCATCATCATAATGAACAATAAATTATAATACCGAAGGTATCTAAGTACATACATTCTAAACGCCGAAATGTCTCGCGACTTCGTTTATACCGGTTCACGAAATGCTAATTTGGTATTTAAATGATCAACAACTACTACCAACGATGTTTCGAAACTCGTAACTATAGTAATGTTTGATAACTCAGGTCTGGTTTCACGCATTAGGCATGCAAAAAAAAGGAACAAGTATTAGAAATTAAAAATTTAAAAAAACCGACTTCAAAAACGTGCAGATGCCATCACCACATCTTAACCAAATTTATATGGGACCACACCTGAGGTACCCCCTTACTAACAAAAAAAGAATCATATAAATTGGGCAAGATGGTAAAGCATTATCGCTAAACATACATAAAAAATGAAGAGTTTGAGGATTTTCTCAGGGACCCAATTGTTAGATTTTGACCAAATTTATATGGGACCACCCCTAAAGTACCCCCTTTCTAACAAAAAAAGAATCATTGAAATCGGACACCGTGTTGATGAATTATCGCTGAACATACATAAAAAAAATTATCGCGACGAATTGAGAACCTCCTCCTTTTTTGAAGTCGGTTAAAAATATATTTTCCAAACACATTTCATTTTTTTAAGATGAATAATTTTAGCTATTAGCACACTTGACTGGTCTCGAATCTCGAACTTTGAGATTTATATTTGTTTGTAGGTTAATTAAAAAGAGATATGTAGAGACAAAGACACATTTCTTCGGCTTCTCGATCCTTCTGCTCTGAGAACGTCGAGCTAGCTCTATGTTCTTGCTCCAAAGCGATACAAACACTTTTGGGATCGCTCGAAGTGTCAATTCAAACACGTATACATGCTCGGAGATCTCCGATTATCAAATCAACATATGAAATCTTGCTAATTAAATCTTTCAGAAAGGTTTACGTAAAAAAATAAAAAAAATTGACTTTTTTACTTGTTTTATAATTCACTCAGATCAATGATTTGAAATAGTAATAAATAACCTTAAAATTTAAATTGTTCGCAGATAAACCTTCCAATTCAAATGAACAGGGCCGTAGCCACTTATTATTAATTGTGTAACTGATAACTAGGTATTACCTACGTAAATTAATTAATTTGACGAAAAAATTAAACATTCTTTAAATAAATAACATTGTTAGATTAACATTGTGACATCAACGTTGTGAGATTAACATTGTGATATTACCATTGTGATATTCACATTGTGATATTAACATTGTGAGATTAGCATTGTAACATTAACATTGTGATATAAACATTGTGACATAAGCATTGTGACATTAACATTGCGACATTAACGTTTAGATAACATTGTGGGATTTTCTATTTCTGTTAAATCAACCTTACTCACATACGAGGATGGGATGGATAATTTGCAACCTGACCCAATAGCTATGATTTTGATTGCGAATGGCGAACCAGTCCCAAAGAGGATGAAAATGGTTCCATCGGCCGGAAAGGTTAGGGCGTCGGTATTTTTGGCATTATTTTTATTAACTATTTTGAAAAGGGTAAAACAATAAATAAAACAATAATATGCTAACTTGCTTCTTGATCAGCTGGAAAAGAAAATTCTGGAGAAAAGACTTGGATTATTTAAAGACAAGTTTTGTTTCATTAGGACAATGCGCCATGTCACAAGTTAGTTATTGTGATGGTTATAATTATGAACTGAGCTTTGAATGAACCTTACGAGCCAGACTAAGCCCCTTTGTGTTTCAGTTTATTTCCTAACATAACATTTCGCGCAGACAAGAAATATACGTCCGATTTGTAAGTCATTGCCAGCACAAACATCTGTCTTAAAAAACGATGAATCGGCCTATAAGAGCGGCATAAACGGTCTTAAATTTCGTTTAGCAAAGGGTATTGAGCAAAAAGAAGATCATGACGAAAGAAGTTGAAAAAGAACAAACTTATTCCAAAACACAGTTAGATGCAAAAGATCTAGCAGAGTTAACCCTCCTACAAGTTGTGGAAATCCTGATAATATGGCTCAAATTGAAAAATTATTTATAGACAAAAAGGGAAGCCTTCAGAGATACCGTTCGATCTCTTTACATCAGTGATAATATTCGTCTGCAGGACTGCTTCATGCGTCTACGTTTTCGTCGTTAACTGTGATAAAAAAGACTCGAATAACGTCGTTTTGTCAGGAGAGAATTGCAATATGGCAAATCGAAGGCTTCAACTATACTAAATATTTTTAGTGTCTTCTTTTCTTTTAGTTTTATCTATTTTGAATTTGTATAAAGATATTTGAAAACCTGTATCAGTTCATTTATTTAAAAAAAAAACGTGACATGTAAGCTTGTTTTGCATATAACTTTCTAAAAAATTATTTTCGACCCGTTCTTCACCTACATCTCACTACCACAG